TTATCCGACCAAAAAACGACCAGTATCGCAAACGTTTTGGCGACAATTTCCGGCATCCTACAATAGCGAAGTGCAGTGAAATGGAGTAGATTGATGGGGCACCAAGTCGGTTTATGCGTTGATGCCTTGTCAAGCATTCAAGAGGACAACAGAAGTCGATGCACCTTGAAAAATGCCCTATAGTTGGCTCCGGCCTCAGACCTGAGGTGGGAAGTGAAACCGATGCGGATAGTTGGGCGATGGGTCATGCACAGTGGGCTGTGTGTACTTGGAATCATATGCACTGACAAGCTGGGCTGTTGGTTGGGCGCGGGCGCGAGTAAAAAACAATGGATGGAACTGTACGAAACACAGGTCTTTTTCCACAGGTTCATTTCCTTTCCAGATTTCAACTTCACTCTTTTGGGCCGCCAATTCAACCCGATAACATTCATGAAAAGTGGGGTCTAACATCAGGACAGAAGCAACTGTGAGACATGTACATCTAACTAAGAAGCCCAGTCTTCTCAGTATAAAATTAGGAAGACTGGAGCAGTAGCAGATGGAAGTTCGACTACTCATAGCTTTTCGGGGTTACCTGAAATGCTGCTGCATGGTGGGTCGCTCCTGAAATTTCATCGACTTGGACAAACGATATCGAGTTCGCCCAATAATAATGATAATAAATATAATAGTCGTTCAGCTGTAGCACCCTTTCGGTGTCTGGCCGCCATGCCACACCAAGGAGGCACCAGGGCTCGGATACTGCCAAGTCGCCCGAGCCTAGACAGGGAATCGAGTGGCAGAGGTCGGGTTCGAACCATGAACCTTCCGGTCGGTAACTTCGCGCTCTAACCACTTCAGCCATCTCGACGAGTTCGCCCAATGGGCTGGATCGTAAAGCAATCCGTTTTGGTACATGAACTTTCGTTGTGCTAGGAATTCCCTCCACAATTTGAACAGTACTCACCGGGATTGGGAACTTCCTCTTGCACAAAAAACCGAACATGAGAGCGGATAATCCCCGAACAACATTCAACTGTTTTCTGTTTGTCATCACCGATCAAGGAGGTACGGCAAAATTGAAGCTTAAAGTGAAACCAGCGAATACAGACGCACAATTTAAATTATTACATTGGGACTAGTGATCAAACTCGATGTGTAGGCTTTCAGAAGAGACACTGTCTTGCACTGATAGCCTTGTCATTGTCACATTCATAAGATCAATACAGGGTCGGTAACTTTCTTTGGTTTTTCGTGTCAACTATGCTGTCCCGAAGAGGCCCAGTAGACAATCTTTACATTGATACTACATAGTCAGGCGATTTATTCCAGCTCTCCACATCCTTCACAACAGTCTCTCAGTTGATTCAACTAATTACTTCCACAGGAACTCTAACTAAAGGAGGGCTAACTCACTTCTCAGAACTGGAAGTTGATCGTGTATTACAACCGAGAAAGAAGTTTGAAATGTTCTGATTAGAATTTGGCCCGTTTTCCTGTGTGGACCTTTGCCGTTCGGATGAGACAAATCCATCCCCCACCTTCCACTCTTCACACACCTAGATGTCTTTCTCCAATGTTTCATCCAAAAAGAATCGTCTCACTGCTTCTTTACCAGTGTAGCGGTGATACTACTGATGGTGGCGTGTGAGTAGTATGTTTTCTTGTCAATCCACTCTGCGTCTCTTGAAAAGCGAGATCGATTACGGACTTTGCGGAGTCGCTCTGTAGCATTTGCTTGCAATCGAGTAACAGTGAATGAAAATCCAGTAAATTTCAAGAAGACGCGTTCAAGGAGAATATGGATATTTAGTTTTGCAAATAAGATACATATGAGTGTTTTGCTCCCCTGTCCAATAGTCTGTAACGGTTCAGTTGGTATTTTCTGATGCATAGCTCCGCAGCAAAGGCCTTCTTCCTGCCACCAAGACAAGCAACAACCGTTAATGGGACTGGTCGAAAATGTTTTATCAGAGGAAACTGCACTCCGACGGCTGTTCAGAACTAAAGTTAAAAATAATAAAGTACTTTTCCCGAAGTGGTAAACGATCATCATAGGAGGATGGACAGAAATCTGTGTGCGAAGTTTACGATACTGTGAGTTTCACACTCCTCAACGAGGATTTTGATTGCAACTTCGTCTAGCTCGCAGGGCTGAAGATGTCTTTTCCAGTTCCACCCCTCTGGAAGCTCATCACTTAGGTGTAGTTCCAAGTTTCTATCAACCTTATGTTTTACGTGTACATTGAATTGTACGCAGCTGTTGAAATCCGCTCGTTCGATGGTGGGGGAAGACTTAACTGAACCTCTGGTTTGAATCTCTCGTCAATAACAATATAGTTTGCAAGCGAGCATATTTCTCCAGTCGCGTACAATTTGGTGTTCAAGTAAAAAATAAGGCTGTTGAAAGCTAAGTGACCATGTCCACTTGCTGATCTCTTGTAGCGAGCTGTCCAGCAGTTTTCAGCAACCTTATGAGTAGCGTGTGCTATCAGGAAAATGTACTGAGATATCTCGAATATTGTACCTACTAAAACATGAGGTGGAGTGGTGCATTCAGCTGAATGATAGGTTAAATGGGATTCATAGGGCAAAACTGGTGTAGTTTCTAAATTAGAATCTGTCTTAGCTAATTAAATTTGAAAAAAAAACATTACCTCCAGGCAAGTTTGATGTATACCTATCAGCTGTTGGCGTATGCTTCACGGCGCCTCGCATGAACCACAATTACGGTTAGAGCAAATTTGAATACAGTACTTCACGTGGTAAAACCATGCGACGAGTTTAACTGTCTTACCAACAAAGGCTGTTTTGAGAAGTGTGCGCCATTGTTATGATTACAAACACGGGTATTGACCGGATCACGTGGCCTGGAGGAGTCGTGGTAGCACGTGAGCTTAGTGAAGGACTCTTCAGGAATAAACCAATAGGATTTCTCCAAATTTGAGCTGATTGTCAAGGGAACCATTCGTTTAGGTGTCTTGATTTAAAATGACCACACGGACCAGTCGGTGACATGCTTTTGATCTGTTCCCCAATCGTAAGTTTTCAAGCGAACTTGGGGGAGCCTGTTGTGTCATTGGACGATCTGGCGATGAGGGCTTTCGGTGGTATCCCGTCCGGTCCCAAAGCAGTAAGTCTGAAGCCATAACATATGCCAAAGTTTGTATGGTTAGTGAATTATGTTGGATGTATTTATTTCATCATAGAACATGTGAGGATGTGGGTGGAGTGTTCTGTCCCAAAAGTATCGTGACCTACTTGTTAGTCCTGACCAAAGTGCAGTCTTGAGACGAACATCGACCGAACCCCGAGTTTGTTTGACAACCAAATGTAACATACACCGAGCATTTATGAAACAATGCGTGTCCACTTATATTTTGTACAGTCTAATCTCTATTCCATCTGATTCGGAATATATTTCCAGCAGACGGGATAGTGAACATGGGATGTCACGGGTGTCCATGATACTTCCTTGGTCAGACATGCTTCTATACAAACTTTCTCAGGGTTTTACTATTAGTCTACTTTCACTGGTTGTACAGCGTTCCACATTTCATCCGGCCATCTGATTGGGCAGTCCCAATTCAGCTTTCTTTCAAAGAAAATGAACCGAAATGATGTGGATGAGTCGACAGTTAGGTGTCTATTTCCTATTCTCATTGAAATTCAACGTGAAAATGGCGTTATGGGTCTGTGTCAGAATGCTCGTTTATAGGAAAGCTCGGTGTGAGTGAAACCATAAGGCTTCAAGGAGCCTTTACATTTAGACTGATTTGCTGTACGATTACGCAACCAGAGATACATGATCTACGAAGGCAACTCCAGGAAGTACTATATGGCTTCCACAATATAAACCAATAATGACAACCACTGGCAGTCCCACTTTAACTCAGTTTTGAACAACTGAGTTTGATGTCGGCTGTGCGGCACAGCAACACGTTACTACTCATGACTTTATCTTCCAAAGATTTGAGCTGGTCATCTGAATTTCGAGCCACGCAAACCCTTGAGTGACGCTTGCATTAGTCCGTAGCGAGATAACTCAGTGGGTAGAGCGCGAAGTTACTGACCGGATGGTCCGTGGTTTGAACCCCGTCTCTGTCTCTCGAATTCCCCTGTCTAGGCTTGGGCAACCTCGCAGTATCCCAGCCCTTTTGGTTCTTCCTGGTGGCATGGCAGTTAGGCTGCGCTTTGTGAACAAAGCTGAGCTTTGTTCACATGGAACGGCCCTCACGTTCGAGTCGTTGCCTGAATCAAAACATAAATGCGAACTCTCATCTTTAGAATTTCTCCTAGTGGGTCTGTCCTGGAGAACATTACCACCTGTACTTATGCAGTAGCATATATTACTGATGAACGATCTGAGTAGGGTCTGGTCAGGAGGCAAAGTGCCATCCTCGCATCTGGTGAAACATCGGTACGAAAAACGTAGAACCACTTTGTATTGCTTGCCCATTGTTTTTTTAACGTTTAAAGAACTTTCGTCCACTTGCAAGGGCATGTTTGGGGATGTGCACTCTTTAAAAACTCTGTGTAAACGTGACTATTAATTTTGTGTCTAACCGCTTAGTTCGTGCTTCTCAGAGGAGTGAATGGCGTTCTTCCTTTCGGTAGTAGTGCATCTATCGTGCCACCCGAAAGAGACGCAAGAAGCGAGATAGTGTCAGGTGGCCAAATCATGGACAGGTACAGTCAGGATACTGAAGATGGGTTCGGACCCAGGGGCTTCCGATCTGTAAGGTCGCGCCTGAACGAAATGGTTCATCCAAGCCCCCGGATACTTCTGGAAAAAGTGATGATGTTAATCCATATGGTTTGTGTTGCCCCGTTTGCAGTGTTCTGTGAAGTTCCAGACTGGTTCTCATTCAGTAGTTTATACCAGCCAGTGACCGCGAAACGCCCATTTATCACAACTTATTTCATGCTTCTCTTGCATTAGACCAACGGTGAACCAAACTCTGTGGACAAAGTAACCGGATAAAATTCTAACTAACGCATCTCCTGGTGAACTAGACATGCTGAACAGTCGTCCGGTGCCCCGCTCCATCCAGATCAGCAAAGGAAGAGATTTGAATTCGGGCTTTTCCGAGCAGGGAGTCGATTGTGCACGAAGTTACGGATTCCCCGCCGTAAACTTGTGGGATTTCAACAGTACCCGCACCGATAACAGTGAAGTCGAGATGAATTGCTCTCAGGGTCAGGTTGCAAACGGTCCGAATGGGTTACTAGAACACGTTGGAAACCTAACGGAGTTATCACACACAACCAGTAACTACGAGCGTGATTGGATCCGATTGTTCGAACCAGTTGTGACAAATGATGACGAGGGCAGTGATGAGTCTCGGAGCCAGCTAGAGAGAGAGAACACCACTGTTTCCCTGGACGATCTGCGTAAACATGCTGTGGAAGGAGAACTAAGAAAATGCTGTTTTCGTAGCGTTTGTTGGCGTATTTGCTTGGGACTTCTGCCTTTGGACACCGAATTGTGGCATCCAACATTGCAAGAGCAACGTAAACAGTTTCGAAAAATCAACGCTTGTGCCAACGATGATCCGCGTTTCACCAATGCACTCGATCACCCACTCGCTTTGGAACACTCAAGCCGGTGGAAACATTTCTTCCGCATGCGTGAAATCCGACAACTAATAGTGCAAGATGTGGACAGAACATTTCCAAATATTCACTACTTTCGTGATCCTGATGTTCAGCAAGCCATGATCAATATTCTCCAATGTTACACCGAGGCAACCGGGTTCGATTATCAACAAGGAATGCATGAGATACTGGCTCCAATCTGTTTTGTCCTTCATTGGGATTCTATTGCCTATCAACGTGTGTGTGAACAAAATCAGATATCTCTACCATTACGAAAGCATTTAGCCGCAGTCTTAGATCATCGTTTTATGCAAGCCGATGCATTCACCATCTTTCTGCGCGTGATGACCACCATTCAAAAATGGTACACTTGCGAACAAAGCACCCCTGTCAGTAATCCATCATCCCCAGTGGATACGATCTCATCTCCTCTGTCCTCTTCCACTTGGATATCTACACCAAAGTTAAATCCTGCAGTCGCATTTCTAAACGATTTGCATAACCGTTTGTTGAAGAACCTTGATCAGAAACTGTACTGTCATTTGAAAGCTTTAGATATTCACCCGGCACTCTTTGGTCTCAGATGGATTCGTTTGTTATTCGGACATGAGTTCGAATTGCATGACCTTCTCTACGTCTGGGATTGTATATTTGCAGTGGACAACAGTTTTGCTTTTGTACGTTATGTGTATGTGACCATGTTGAAACATCTGAGTCCGATGTTATTGTCCAGAGACTATTCCGACTGTCTGTTTCTACTGATGCGTTTCCCGAGTGATGTGGACATTACCCGAATCATTCAGAATGCGCTAAACCTTTACAATCCAACAATGTTCCCACTTGCAGACTCAACTGACCCGGTCGGTGCAATCTCACCCAAGTCCGATTCAGACATTTCCCAAAAGACCCTCACTGCCCAAACCACTCCTCGAAGAAAAGGCAAATCCTTTGTGAGACGCTGGACATTGTTGAAGGCACCCAACTTGGAGTCTATGGCTGAGAATTCGAGAAGTGCTACAAATCTGAATGCGGCCAACTGGACCAACAGTGAACCTGGATGGCATTCCGAACAGCCAACACCCAACATAGGTAGCCGTCAGATGATTGATCCTCCCCTTGTCCCCCGCGGGTCCATTACCTCACTGTCCAATACGACAACTGATACTAAGCCGGATCACATCGAGCGCATCTATCGTCAGTGTGTACAGGCTTTGGAATCATGCAGTGCCCATGTGGACGTGTTGTTATGCCGGTCTCTGGATGAAATCAATAACGCACGGGAAACAACATATTTGACCGACGGTTCTTTTGCTCCAGCTACTCAGTGTGAACGCCTTCATCTGATCAAATTTGAACTTCGTCGTGCTCAGCAGATGCTGGATGCAATCATATCCGAAGTGGGTAACGATATCCGTTCTCCTCTAGTTCAGCGTCGGATAATCCCAGGGGGAAGTTCTGGAAATCTGGGACGTCCACACAAGACCGTTTCCCGTTTAGCGACGGATCAATCAGATGCGGCTTCTTCCCTTGCTTCAGATGTGGATGGAAACCTACCAGGTCACATTCAGCATGGCCAGGAGAACGGTCTGGGGATACCGCCATCTGATCAGCATGGTTCAGATGCTGTGAAATGTAAAAACATCGGGGCTCCGGGTTCATTTGTTCGACTTCAAGTTTTGCGAAATAAAAAAAAGGTTTCTCTTTCCTAGCCAGACGAGCATCAATTGAACCAGAACATGATCGAAATCAACAAACTTCCAAATGGTCTACCGTCTGTGATTGGCCCAAAACACTCTTGCCTGCGATACACCTGAAAACGCTGAATCGTCACACGAAAAGAATCTTTGTTCATGTACAGTAGAGAAAATGATTATAACTTTATCATATTCTTCGTTTATATAAACTTTGTACATATCAGAGTACAAAAAATTTACTTCATTTAGAGTTGTTTTTCAAGGTGATGAAAGTGAGCTCTTTAGTTGTCGGATTTGAACGATTGCTCAGCATTGTAGACACTGTTGCGGTAGTTGTGTACAGAATACGGAGCAACTGTTGAGATGATACTTAGTTCGTGGTCGTAGGATTTCTCCCCGAAAGCTTGCGTATCAGTAGCGGGTTGAAAAGCCAACATCTAGTCTACCTTTCATGTTTTTCACTTGCACGGTTTCCTCTGTGACTTTGCGCTGTGTCTAGGCGAATTCCTATGGTGGCAGCGAACGACGGCTTTCGAGTTTGATCCCATGTATAGTCAACAATACGATCTCTACTTTGCTAGCTCTGTAGCTAACCCGAGCATGTTTAGTCTTATTACCCTTTAAAATTAAGACTCCTAATTTCCTATTCTGCTGAGTTTTTTATTTTCGACATTTTGTAAAATCCAGTTCTTGTGTTTTAATCGGCTTGATACTAAAACATTCGAAAGGAAGGTAGCACTCATATACTCAATTTATTTACCCTGATGAGCGATATTCTAATTCCTGTTCGTTGAGCTCTAGCTAAAAGAATTGAAATGCATTCAAAAGACCATTTAATTATTGATTATCTTCTGCGTTCAGTAATCAATTGGGTGACTTTGAGTTACACTCACAGTCCAAAAGTCAAGTCTCTCTAATGAGGTACCTTGAATATAATAATAAAATTATGACTATACCGGCAACACTAGTAAGAAAAGGTAATGGTAAACTGGTACGAAACTTAAAGGACAGTTTGTTCCGGGATTTATACACCAGGTTAATTAACGATGACCCCAGAGGAGGTTTTGAGAAATAATGTGGCTAGGGACCAATGGATTTGCTCAAAGTTCACACCGAATCAAGACACATGATTCACAGACCTGAAAAGCCCATATGGCCATAGAGAAGTAGGAAGGGAACGTCAAGGTCAGAGAGTGGTCAAATGGTTGAAGGTGAAAAAGAATTCATCGTTCAGTTTAGAAAAACAGGAGATGAAGGCGTTGTTTGTACGCACTTAATACACAATTCATAAGTGTTCTGAGAACTCCTCGACAGGCCCCGACTAGTTCCGCCATTCTTAGGGCTCATGCGGTGAGTGTAGAACCTGAGTTTCTGTCTACTACTTGCTCCCCTGGAAAAACCATCAAACTGAAGCAAGAAAATGAGGAACACCATGATACACAGGTAGAGTAGAAGCAAGAAGTCAACGATATTCCATGTACCACACCCGAGTTTTGTTTTCGGCCAGAAGGTGATTTTAAGAAAGCTGGAAATAAACGGTGGCACGCTGGGTAGACGTGAAAACGACAAAAAGGCAAATCCCCTCCCAAAGTGCCCCCCAGTTTGTTCCTCTTGTAAGTAGAAAAGACTCGAATACATTGTCACATAAGTTCAACCAGTAAGTTCCATTAGAGTTATATCTGGATATGTCAACTAATTTGCTCACACTGGATCACAGTTTCGATCGGTACTAAACTTTTGAACAGCCCGGCAAACATCCAGGCCGTTTATTAAATAATGAGTTGATTACTTGACCGGATCGCTCAGCTGTAACATATTCCTGGTGCCTAGCTGCCATGCTACCCGAAGGAAGCACGAGGACTGGGATACTGGCAGGTTGCCCAAGCCTAGACAGGAGAAGTCGAGATGTGGAGGTCTGGTTCGAACCTTGAATCTCCTGTCAGTAAATTCGCCCTCCTACCAACTGAGCCATCTCGCCCCCACTGACCTGATGGTCCGTGGTTTAAGACTGATCTAGTCCAGGCTTCGGCAACCTAGCAGAATCCCTAAGCTTCCTTCAATTAGTGTGGTAGGTAGCCGCCAAAGGAATGTCATAACTGGACGATTATACTTTTTTTTAAATCTTGCTGCGCTATTTAGATTACTGAAGACAGTTGACATAGTTCCATTTTTTGCTTGTAATACGTGGTTCCTACTATAAGATAGTATTCTTAAAATGTGCACGTGAACAAAATGAAAACATTCAGGCGGGTAGATTGCCTCGTTTAGGTAAATTTTTTACGCCCTAATGTAGATCTGCTAACTTTGGTGTTGCTATTTGGACCAGTTTAACCACTCAACTTTCTTACAGTCAAGCTTCTAGGAGGTGATGCGGGTAAGTCTATCGACATAACGACGACAATTACTGGATCGTCGGTGAAGTCGTTGGGTAAATGAATCACATCGTTTTCTGGAGGGGGGAGGGATCAGTTCGCCTGCTCATAGGTGATAATCCGTGTTCATCCGGCGTGCGCTGGTGAAGTATTTGGTAACACGCTTGCCTCGGATATCAGATGCCCGGAGTTCAAACCCCGCCAGGACTTATGGGCTCTAATAAGAGAGCAACTCGAATACAGTGCTTCTCCTTTTCGGTATATACTCATCAGAATAATTGTATCAGGAAATGACGTGGTCCGTTCAAATGACAGTGATACCAACGTGAAAACATATCGTGAAAAATCACTGTTACTCGGCCGAGCAGTCAGGATTACATGAACTAACAGTCGCGACGGTGTGAGTCAGTGGGTTTAGTTCCGCAGTTGAGTTTTCTCAAGTTGTATCTGTCGTACCGTTGCCCATCGCGTCAGATCTTCGTTGCTATGCTAGTGGTGGTGGCGATAAGTCATAGACTGGGGTTTGCTCAGCTTTGGAGTGTTTTCCAATCTGACTGAGACTTGCGGGCTAACCTGCGATTGATTGGAATCGGAAACGGCTGGAGTGATGTACGTTAGAGACAAAACCAAGATGACGTAAAGTGATTCGGTCCACAATCAACTCCTGCGGCGCTCCCTCTCACCAATCAAAGACCTGTTAGTGAAAGTGATGTTTCCTAAGTTTAAGAAATCTTCAGAATAATCTGCGATGACGACTTGGTCTATGAGTTGATTTGCGTACAGTTTTGATGCAAGACATTGCATCTCATCCGGACTACGCGTACTCTTAGGCGAGGATTTAAAGAGGGAGGGGTATGAAGAACTCGAAATTCAAAGGCACCAGTTTCCAAAATATCGATCGTTTGTCTGGTTTATCCGATATGTGAATAAGCGGGTGCTCCACTGGCCTATCCGCTGTTTGATGGATGTGCACGTGAGTAGATACGGTGGCCTAAAATCCAGCAACGGTAGAATTACAATAGATCGCGTAAATAACCGGGTCTCGGGTGATTTGTTAGCCACTAAAAGCCCGTGACAACTGACAATATCTATAAATGAAGCCACTTTGCATCGGTTACACATAAATGTGCATTAGTTGTCAGTCCGGTGTGCACGTTGACCAGTTTCGCTCACCTGAAGCTGAGCGCGCAGTCATCAGGATTACGATCTAACGGACCTCTTTATCAACCAAATAGGCCGACAGCTCCAGCGCATTGCCCCTTCAAGCCAGATCCTAAATGAACATTAGCTACTTTCAGGATGATCCGAATTTTTCCATGTGGTAGTTAGATCAACGCGTATGAAAATGAATACGTAAGGCTCTCAAGGCCGGCACTTCACAGCTGTGTGAATGCTTGCGCCGCCATTCGGAACTCACCATCTCTGGGTCTGAAGAGACAAGACACTAGGTGCCGCGTGTTAAACTAGCGTGCAGTGCATAGCCATGTAGGGTAGATGAGTTAATGAACATTTCCGGAACAAGTCTTCGCCAACCAGCTAGTCTAGTAATGATAAAATGGGCGATCGTTGACCACGTTTTGCTTACTCTGCTGGCATCAGAGCATTGTTTAACGCCTCCTTGTTCAAACGCCCTGCCCGAAAACATAAAGTTGACGAAAACCCGTGGAATGCGCCTACCTAACAAGCCCCAAGAAGGGCGAAACAGGTCGTGGGCTGTCGACGAATTTTTATTACGAATATACATTATGCTGATGTCTAAGAATGTCTGAACAGAGTCGATTTATCGGAGTATACTTTCCTAACGAAACACAGTACTCACAAGGTTGGTGAGAACACAGACACCCCAGGAGGGGGTGCCTGAGGGCTATTGGGCATGCAGAGTCCCCGAGTTGCTGTCAACTTTCGTTTCAACTTGAACATAACGTTGTGAATTGAATAGGTATTACAAGGCCGCTCAACTGAATCCTAGCTAACTCTAAATCACTGGCAAGATGTAGCACTTGGCTTCAACACATGAGCGTTATGAATATCAGCTCATCAAGAGTTTCAAATGGAAATCGGATAGTCCATAAAGACTGGGTTTCCAGGAGAAGTCAGTACCATCGTGAAAGGCTGAGTGCACTTGGAATCGCAGCACACTGGCCTCATACATCGTCAAAGATTATATACTGTTTAACCATTTGTGGCGTTTGCGGTCTGAACTGGTCCAAAAACTGACGCGGCTTCAACAGAAAAAAAGCCGCAGCTTTAAATGATTTACAGAAAACATGTAGGCACTTCAACCACGCATAGCTGGCTACCATTGGGTACTAAATTTAGTTCCTTTTTTGACTTTGGCCATGAGGTGAATGCACAGGGCTCCATGGAGGCTACCTTTAGGTGGCAAAATTTCACGGGTGCTCCGCCTCTCACGCTTCACCTCCATCGCCAATAAAAAGTCCGATCAATACATTGAGGATAGGTTTTTTTTGTAGCAATTCAGATTTACCCAATATTCAGGGGGTGGACAATAATTCAATACTGAAAATGAAATACGAACGTCCAAGGACTTCATCAGTGTACAACTGTTCGGAGGAAAGTGAAGCCGACAGCTGTCTTGCGATAAGACGTCTGCTCACCGCAGAAAAATCTTGACCTGCATTCTACCAAACTGCATAAAGCTATCGTTATGCGCCATGTTCAATGGCTCCAAGAAAGTCTCTGATCCGGTAGACAGAAGTATTTCTGACCTTCTGATTAGGCTTGGCGGTGCCGGAGAAAAGGTTGATTTATCGGCTTCCTTGGCTCACACTTTGCACTCCGCTTTCGATCTCAATAGGTCGACGAATCGTTGTGATCATCATCGGCAGTATAACATCACTGACCAGCATTGATGCTTCACCACCGGTGCTGTTAAGGTGGTTCTTGTGAAATTACGGTGCCATCACTAAAAACGTATTCTCGAAGAAAGTGATTCCAAGAAGAGCGCGATTTGGTCATCATATAGGGAGGGAGCACAGCACGTGATTTTCATCTGACCGTCATTGGTGATACGCTACACGATTGGTCTGCGGGGAATGACGAGTGCAGAGTGAGCATCACTCACTTTTTTGGACCGCTTTACCATAGTGTCTTACTGTAAATTTAATATAAGATGAATTGTTTTAACCAGATAAACTGAGCCTGGTTTTTATTCGCATTCACAAAGAATAAATAGTGCGGGATAAAGTCTAATTGGGAAGGGGGGCTATTTTGACGAGGTTCAGTATTCTGAATTTTCTTGATAAATTTTCTACATTCTACAACCGGTTGTGCCTTTCTTTGGGCCCATCAGCCAAACGTGGTCCCAACTTTTCCATCAACTTTATGTTCTGGTTGAAACTGAAACTACACTGCGATATCTCAGACCATGCGGAAAGCCTTAGTTCAGCAGTTTGAGTTGGGTAATATCACAGAAGAGAAGTTCAGTTGAGACTAGCGTTAAAATCCAGTCGTCCCAATCACCGAAGCCAGCGATGTCTGCTGAATTGCACTCATGACCTAAGAATGTTGTCTCAAGGTTGTCGTTATGACAGGTGTGTGAGTACAGCAGACCGGCATGCTTATTACAGAGACTGTCTCTGGCAGAATCAGAGCTGTACTCCCTCGATGCATAGGCGGACTAGAGAAGGGAATCCGTTGACCTATCCTTCATAAGATACTTTCACACAAGTTGCCGGATAAAATGGAGTTGGTACCTACCAGCGGTGATCCAGTAGAGTAAGGAGGCTTCCAGTCGGTGGTTCAAAGGTATATCCAACTCAGTGTGTCCAGCTGTCACAGTTTTGGCATTGCCAGATTTGCGTGTTCAGAATCGAAAGACAGCACTTTAAGTACAGCACTGCCGCCATGGACGATTGTTTATTTGACATGCAGCATTGCAGATGCAAAATTTGCAAAAAGTTACCACTCTGGATGATTTAGAATGAATAAAGCTGTCAGTTCTTGTGCTCGGACCTCCAGATGTGGTGTCGAGTGGGAGACGACGAGTGTGTGAAGTGGTGGAAGACAGAAAGCAATAGGAGTTCGCTTTCCGTTACGCATTCTGCTCTATCTAACAGTGAAAGCAGCCCTGCACATGGTGCCAGCCATCGGCAGATGTGACGGGGCAGTACATTTGTTTGTATAGTGTGTTGTTGCAGGCCGAATAGGAAACCGTCATGGCACCCAGTGCCAGACAGGAGGCGTTCAGGGTCCCTAACCAAGCCCTTGGGCATAAAAACCTGATCGAAAGTCATCTAGTGCGAGTCTTTAGGGAATAACTCCTAGTGAATGCTCTTACTCCCAACCTGGGAGGAGGGAAGTTCAGACTTCTGGTCTTTGAAAAGCCTGGGGGCGCAATGGGTCACAAAGAACACAAAGAGCCCCAGCGCAATGAGGACAAAGAGACTGAACCCCTCGTTTTTGGTCTCCAGCTACATGTGTTACAGTTGTATAAATCACCATTGGTTGTGAGTGTGAAATGTGCGCGAATGGGAGTGTGAAATGTGTGTGTGTGTGTGTGTGTGTGCGTGAAATATACCATCAAAACATTTTAAAGTACCAGGTGAATGTTCCCCGAAGATTTCATGGATAAGACAGACAAAGCGCTATGTGTTACACCGCAAGAAACATTCAACGGCACCTGTCTTTCTCATGCGACATCTGGTGATCATTTTGGACCGCGTTGTACACAAATATAGCACTGGATATCCAGTTTTGATAGCAAGGGATTGATTTGCATGAAAAGGAGAAATAGTGAAAGTGTGTTTGCACAGGAGAACAGACACTGTATTTTAGATAGATCCCCTGTATAAACTTTGTTGCTATCGCCTTTATTTTTCTGGCTGCTAATCAACCTGGAAAATTTGCTTTCTAGGTGACTTATCTTGTTTTCAATATTGGGTGTAACTCTTTGTTCTATCACCGCGTGATGCATTCAGTGCAAAGTGTACTGGAACGTTGTTGCTAGGATTCAGTTTTGGAGGACATCTAATACTCATTCGAATGGGCTGTTGTAAGGCTGTCCATGATAGGTTATTTAACGCTAAGTTGTTGAGCGACGATCTCATGAATCGCAAAACAAAACAGGGTGAACTGGTTCCTCGGAATATAAATCGTGTGAATTCGAATGGTTTAAGTCGTGTTTGAGCGGAGAGCTCATGAAAAATGACAGACTGCAACAACTCTTGAGTAAACTACCCAATCTTCGGTATGTTGGAGATCTCCAGTTCTCGAACTGAGTAGCTATAATGAACCATCTTTAGGCGTTCCAAACGACGGAAGTATCGTTAGTGAACTGACAAGCGGAGGCTAGAGTACACAGCTACGCGTCGCCTCATGAAGAACTATGTACGCCAGTTTTACTGGCATGGCCATGAAAATGCAAGCATTTTCAAAAAGGAGCCAGATTCTAGACCATCTATTGAGAGAACTGTTTCTTCCCCTAACTACTACCACTACTACTGAATTATGTGTGAGTAGCACATTCCAATCGATGTTTAATGGCTACTCAGTGTTCGCGGAATCTACTTCGGTACATTCCAGCTTACCTTTGGCCAACGCAACGCGTACTTGAAAACGGAAGGCACTTAGGCACTAAAGATTTACTATAAAAATCCCTCCCTTCTCATCCGACAGCACTATTTCCACCGACAGTGTGAAGTTGACTCATGTCAAGCAGTTTGGTTGTTCGCATTGCAAAGCAATACCATTATCCCAGCGAACGTGGATGAGCGTTCGCAAAGTTGGCCGGTGGATTGAGTAGGGTATTTTTCAACCTTTCAGCTAAGGATCGATGGTGAACGGGAAAGAAAACCCTCCTTCACTATGAAGTTGTCACTTAGAAGAGGTAGACAACATCCTCTGTCTCAGAATTTCGCTTACATGTTGCCCGCCCATCACTAGAAAACCAGAACCTCTGTCAGGTTTAGCAATGATTTAGGCTCTTGCAGTACAAGGAGTTGGCTTTTGGTTATCACTGGTGCATTAAGCGATGGAGTAAATTAATTTCGTCAACAAAATAATCGAATTTGATTTTACCCGTTTGAAAGTCATCTATTCCAATGGATTGCGACCCATATAAATGCACGATCGTTGCAGCTAAGGATCTCGCAGGACGATTGCGGCTATCCGATTATATGCAGTTTGTATCCAGTAGAAAATAGGAATGGACGGACGATGGCAGCAGATGATGTATTGAGAACTGTCAATAACTGGTTCTATACACGAACCGGTTGGTAAGCATCGTGAAGTAAGTAAACGTACAATCAATAATAGCACAATCAACAGGAGCAGAAAATGGTCAGTGAGGCAGCAGAACTCTCTCAACGCAACAGCAAGTGAGCACCAAACAATGTGAAACGTACAGATATGGGCAGTCAGTCAGTGTGAGTCGGCTTTACGGAGACATATTGGTGCAGAAAACAATCAGTACATTAGAGAGGTACGGAAATGCCTTTGGTTGACGGCGCGATGCGGCAGCTCGCGTTACGTGACAAATCAGATTGCGCGCTCAGGCCTCTTTAAAACAAATCTCACCATAGGCAACGTGGCGGGTGCGGTATATAGGTAATAAAAAATAGGACCTTCCAGGTGTCGAGCTGGGTTAGTGGACAACAGGCTCGACCGCCATCCGAGAATCTCTGAGTTTGATCTCCGGCCGGTCTGTTTCCCTGGCAGAGCAGACGCTCGAGAATAGGTAGAACTGAGACTTGCAAGCAATTATGGATGGGCAAAAAATATTGACATCAATTGCTAAGTAGGAGCGGAACAAGGGAAACGAGCAACAAGGTAACGAAACGGCTTCACAGTGAACGAGCGTAAGTCACGTTACTCATGAGTAGTCGGAACATAAAAGAAAACTAACAGGAGTTTTTGTGAATAGGCTTCAGTTATAAAGATGTCCAAGTCGGCATAAAGATATCTTTTGATTTGCATTTCGGCTGTCATATCTAAAATTGTATGGAGCACCCGAGTATTTGTATGTCGCACTGAGTGTTAAAAGGACAGCGCTTGGCCGGAGCAAACGTGATACGCATCCAGTCAACTGTAGTTTTGGAGACTTGAAACTAGTCAAATATTTATTCATTTCATGGCTTCCAGCATTTCGCTGTGGTTGCAACAACACTTACTTCTGAAGTACACACCGCTGGCTTCTTCCGAATTGAGTTGCACGCGGTGAGACACTCGTCACCTGATTGTCAGTTCGCGATCTTGGACCCATCAACGCGGTAGCAAGCCCAGCGTTATTCCCGTCGCTGAATAGTCGAACCACGTGACAGAGAACGAGGTCGACGTCGGGGTCAGCAGCTGGATGTCAAAAGTCCGGCATTCTCCAATGAATTTCAATTTACTTCGACAAACGCAGCAAAGCCAGACGAGCTGGGAGAGATTTATGCGCATGAATATGAGAACTCAACGGGCCCTCAGGGGACACGACACCGAACAACTAATTGTGTCCTAAGCTCAGAACCGCTTGACAGTGCGTTAATTAACACACAAACAACACTCCAAGCATAACAACCGACCCAGTGCTAAGATCCACTATGCATGTTACACACTATTGTTGATGATACATTTGTAGTCAAATTACCTAAATGATCGAAAAAATCAGCCGGCAACTATGCTACCTGAGCTACCAACATTCCCCTCTCCTTTTCTGAAAGTCTTATTAAATGTGCATTTCAGTTGTAAGTACTTTAATCTAAAGCAATGGTGGCTTGTACCGCGAGTGAGATTCACTCTATGATGGCCACTGGGTGGCTCTATCTTCAGCTGACAGGCCCGAATGTATCGCGATATCTCGAATATCGTAGCGACTAAAAACAAGAGGCGGCCTGGTGCAGCACATCCAGTTGCCTGAGAACATCACAAACGAGTGGATTTGCCTACCTTTTGGCCTTTCGCATATGCATATCACTGCCCAACGTAGATGAACAGGGGAGCTTAAAGAATTGTAATCTTGTCTCTTCCTTACATGTAAAAGAAAACTAACAGGAGTTTTTGTGAATAGGCTTCAGTTATAAAGATGTCCAAGTCGGCATAAAGATATCTTTTGATTTGCATTTCGGCTGTCATATCTAAAATTGTATGGAGCACCCGAGTATTTGTATGTCGCACTGAGTGTTAAAAGGACAGCGCTTGGCCGGAGCAAACGTGATACGCATCCAGTCAACTGTAGTTTTGGAGACTTGAAACTAGTCAAATATTTATTCATTTCATGGCTTCCAGCATTTCGCTGTGGTTGCAACAACACTTACTTCTGAAGTACACACCGCTGGCTTCTTCCGAATTGAGTTGCACGCGGTGAGACACTCGTCACCTGATTGTCAGTTCGCGATCTTGGACCCATCAACGCGGTAGCAAGCCCAGCGTTATTCCCGTCGCTGAATAGTCGAACCACGTGACAGAGAACGAGGTCGACGTCGGGGTCAGCAGCTGGATGTCAAAAGTCCGGCATTCTCCAATGAATTTCAATTTACTTCGACAAACGCAGCAAAGCCAGACGAGCTGGGAGAGATTTATGCGCATGAATATGAGAACTCAACGGGCCCTCAGGGGACACGACACCGAACAACTAATTGTGTCCTAAGCTCAGAACCGCTTGACAGTGCGTTAATTAACACACAAACAACACTCCAAGCATAACAACCGACCCAGTGCTAAGATCCACTATGCATGTTACACACTATTGTTGATGATACATTTGTAGTCAAATTACCTAAATGATCGAAAAAATCAGCCGGCAACTATGCTACCTGAGCTACCAACATTCCCCTCTCCTTTTCTGAAAGTCTTATTAAATGTGCATTTCAGTTGTAAGTACTTTAATCTAAAGCAATGGTGGCTTGTACCGCGAGTGAGATTCACTCTATGATGGCCACTGGGTGGCTCTATCTTCAGCTGACAGGCCCGAATGTATCGCGATATCTCGAATATCGTAGCGACTAAAAACAAGAGGCGGCCTGGTGCAGCACATCCAGTTGCCTGAGAACATCACAAACGAGTGGATTTGCCTACCTTTTGGCCTTTCGCATATGCATATCACTGCCCAACGTAGATGAACAGGGGAGCTTAAAGAATTGTAATCTTGTCTCTTCCTTACATGAAAGGATTACGGAAACCCAAGGCCTAGAATCGCTGGTTTTTATTTTTTGCTCTGAATATATCGATCAAGCAGCGGCAAAATATACTTATGTTACACTGTGGATAACGCCAACGATGAGTCGCAGAGCCCGGACTTTAAGGCTCACTCACAATACCTCATTTTTAGTAAGCTAAATTCTGGACATATTGTGAAGGTATTTGCGGGCATTGCAGAGAATGTGAACATTTTGACTGGCAATCCGTAGAAAAATTCTTGTTGCTCGAAGGTATCGTCTGGACGCTGGCTTGTTGGCAGTTGAAGTTGGCCTGCCAGCGTTACGCCATCAACCGGCTAGGTCGGCCAAAATTCCTTCCAACTTCTCACCTAAACTGCCATGCTGCAAAATGCGTGGTCCTCCATATGTGTACTTGAGATATCCAGCTATCGACCCCCGTTTAAGAGCGCAAGTGTGCAGCAGCATAGCTATTGACTCTCGTACTTCCCCAAAAAGCAAAAATAATTTATCAAGCTGGTCAACCTCTTCGTCTGCTGGTGAGGTGATCTAAGTGCAGTAGCCTGCCTGGGAAACACCAACACCTGTACGGTTAGTTTTAAAGCCTAGAGCACTATCAATCAACTGTCTGCAGACCAACTTAGTGTCACCCTGGTCAACACTATTTGAACACGTCAGATCGCTATCCGATGAGTTGATGATGATTTCTGCATCATAAAATTCGTCCTCTAGCCAGAAAACTGCACTGAACCTATGGTTAATGTATCTGTTTGCATTCAGCATAATGCCACGGTGTTCGGTTTCCTCAATTGTCAGTATCTTGCTCCCTTGAGCAGACTTCCAAGTGTAATAGACTTTCCTTCGATTTAATCACTGACTAACCCATCTAGGTGTGCCGTGTGATAGCTTCGATACTTTGCTAACGAAGGCAAACCATTGCATTTTTCGTCTTTCGAAAGCTATCTTGACCTCCAAGTGCAAATCAATATCACAGAGAAGAGCAGTGAAAACATACGGCAACAATCCTTTCACACATTTGATCCGTCTGCCTGCTATTCAATACGAATTTGAAACACTTCTTTTTATCTTATCTCGTGCGAATACTGTCAGTGTGTTCCACATTTTGCCGTCTGTCTGCATCGGATCACAGTTAAATTGTTTTGTTGTCACACCAGCCAAAAATTCCCCAAATAAATTCACAGAACTAAGGTTCTTTGGGCAGTGAAGGTTAGGTCGTACCGCATGTCTCTTATAAGATAGGCATGTAGATCTGGTGCGCGTATGCGGGAAGATTTCTGAGAAGGAAGCCTATTCTGCCGCGTTAGATCCGGGGAATGTAGATATGTTCGCCGGACACTTGGTCAAGCGTAATCGGTTTGGTGTAACCACACATATGTACAGAAGGATCAAGCCTGGTGAGCCACTTTTGAAGGTAATACGGTGCCCAGAACCACTTGTGTACTCATATCGGAATGCTCAACAACAACTGAAAGTGTCGTACGATGCATTCTATCCTGTTGGCAATAATATACCTGATGTCTTGTAGTGTTTTCAGTAGATGCGGGTAAGAATGACTTTTTAACGGTGAAAAATACTCGCAACCGACAACGTGTTCAAGAAGACTGGGGTTCATTGACTAGAGGATATTCGGTGTAGTGTGTCTTGCCTTAGTTAAGCAGACGCTCGCGGTCAAGTGGTTTGGTTGGTAGCCGGAATTCCAGTTCATCCTGGAGATTAACAAGAAGCGTGCTTTTGACAATCTCTTATGAGGATTAAAAAGCTATCTAATGCTTCTTGTCTTTTTCAGCTGAGGTTGGCTTCACCCCTGTGACGGTATCTCCGCGTTTTTGTCCTAGCTGGCTTCCGCAAGACAAAGAGTCTTCATCAATGAGACCAGCAATCAATAATGTGAGTGGTTACCAAATGTGTTGTAACCACGGGGTAGGAGAGTACACATATCAGTCTTCCTGCCTGATGTAGAAAAGCGTCGTCATCAAACGTCTGTAGACCCCCGTAAACAAGCTGCTACAATTTCCAGTTTACAACCATGTTATCTACGAAAACTATGCTAATCGATCCCGGACTTATTATTGCACAGGTTTGTCAATCAACCTGGGTAGGTAAATCATGAGGGAACGGAAATTAAACATTGTTGGCACTTCTGGCCCTGCTACTACTGTAAGGAGAAAAGCCATTCGCCGCGGAGTCGTTTACCGTCAAACAAATAAGCAGTTACAAACTATTGAACTGGGAAGTAAACGTCGCATATGCACACAGCTTTTAAAAACTGAACATTCTCACAAGTTTTCTTGAACTTTCATGGATATTCGTTGGCTGTCCCGCAATTGTAAATGGTCGCTGCAGAGCAATTGCACAATTAAGTAACCAACATCATCTTGTATTAGAGGCGGGGTGGAACTTTGAGAAAACCACATACTATGCTAATGCCCTATCAGTGGTATCCACCACTCCACTGCTGGCGGTGGTCAGTTGAAACTAGGAGGGCGAATCACCAGACATAAAAGACCAATGTTGGTATTGGACAGGGTTCCGCAGACAATGAAGCCTATCCGAGTATTAGGAGAACCAGCTCCGAACGTTACAGGACTACCTAACTGCCAATGGAATAACCGTTTTTCGTTGAAACAGATTTCATTGGCTGTTCTTCGCTCGCCCTTGACAGACGAGTTGTAATCTCAGTATCACTTTTGACCACTTGTACGCGACAGTGATCAATAGATCAGCCGGGTCGCACGTTCGTTGACTTTTTCTGGTTTGGTCAAGCGCAAAAGGCGATCAAGCGGCTATCTAGATATGGGTTCATGGTAATAAGATAGCATTAAGGGACTGTGGTCCACAACACCCAGACTACTGGCAAAGACAAGCTTAGGCAGCTCGAGAATCCAGAGGACCGCTGGTGATATCGAGAGTTGTCTGCTTATCACACATACTCTATGGTCCTGAGAAAACCATCTGACATAGCATTGTAAACGCCCAGGTCTTTCCCAGGTCCCTAGTATCCAACCTGTCTGACGACGAATCAGGATTCAAAGTCATCTTCGAAGTTCCGTTTGAAAGGGGATATAATACAAAGAATTTTCAAGCCAGACCACCAAAAATGTGACTGAATCGGTGTGCTCAGCTTCCAAGCCATTCAAGACCAACCGTGAATGAGTGTCAAAGGTTGAATGTGAGAATGACGTGGGTGGTAGAGAACCTGGATCGTCGGTAATCAGACAATCGACTTTGGAGTAGCACAGAAGAAATAACAACGTTGTGGAGGCCACCATCATGTTACCTGTACAATCAGAGGATTACTGTGTTACCGGCATCCGGTTGTAATCTTCACCCTTCTGCTTGTCACATATTGGATAAGGCGCTTGTGATCAGCTCACCACGCATCGTGAACAGTCAGAATTGCCTTCTGTAGACACGGATTTCCTATTGAAAACTAATATATGGGCACCTGATTTATGGATCGTTCATGATAGATTGGCTGAGACATTACGCTATGAACCTAACAATACGTGGCACTCTTTTACAAGTGTGGAAAATGGAAAACTCAGTACGTCCCATTCGAATTCAGACGTCCTCTTTCTGTAGACCCTTCTGGATAAATAAGAAGGCTTCTGTTATAAAAAACGGAGAAAAATGCTCCAGGACTATTTCAGTGTCAGGCTACTCCAACCAAACTACGATTCATACTAAAAAAAACGTAGGATTACATGCATCCGTAAAAAAGAAGAGAGGTTTCCTCGTTTAATCGATTTCCGAATGTAACCAGAAGGCGCCAAACTTACAAGAACGTCTATTCTGATCAACAGTCATCACAGTGATGATTTTCTTGCACTCACGCGTAAACAGGTGGACGTCTGGTATTCGCAACCAAAGAATCTGACTCCAAAACCCAGGTTGGGGCCTGGATACTACCAGAGTATGAGAGGTTTTTCCATTCCGACCCCCTAACCTGAGGAAACAGGCTGCTGAATTTGTCCCGCATCCGTTCACTGACCAGCCTCGTATCAAATTCTCTGCGCTGGTGTCGAGACAAACGCCATAGTAGCTCAGTGAAATACAGAGTCACACAAAACACCACCCTGCTGCAACTTCACACACAAGTGGACACCGAAATAAGTGATGAAGCTCACCCTGCACGCGACACGAAATGTTCCAACACAACCGCACTCACATTCCACAAAAAGTGATGTCTCTATGACCCAAACACCCTGTTTGACCGAAGGACCAGTAAACCAGAGTTGATTGTTGCAAACGGATAGATTTTTTGTGGCCTACTTTCACACACCTGGTGAAGTGTACGATATAAACAAGCTGGTGAATAAACCAACACTTTCATAGAGGAATGTTTTTGTGGACCTGGTTTCTGTACGTGTATCTTGCGCTGGTGATATGCTATGGCACGCGGGGTAAGTTTTTGCTAGTCTTGTTTCTTCGTCTTCCACCCATTCCCTTCGGTAGTCCGACTGTATTGCCTCTGAAACCAAAAAGCTTCGAATATCGTAATTGTCAAGTCTAGCATAACATCCATCTTTCTGTTGTGATCTGCTTGGGTCGGTCCATTTGCAACTCGAACAAGCCACACTCACACACGGATCACAATTAAGATCAAACAGTTCTCCAGTTCGCCCACATTTGTGCACTTCTCCCCTAATTTAGTGCACTTATTCTGGCTGGTCCACGTCAGAGTTAGGAAGCATCCGTCTCGTTACGAGCTATTACTATAAAGCTTATCAATAGTGTGCGGAGGGATTTAAACCTGGATTCCCCTAACCATAGTAAGCATTTCATGAAAAAGTGTCCTCTTCATGTGGTAGAGTGGTAATTAAGGATGTTGGGCGCGTCAAACCTTTCAAGCGAAATCCCATCCTGAAATTGATCTACAAATAAGGGCAATCAAGTTGTCGTAGCATTGGCTGAACTTTATGTCATGCTCTGTAATACAAATAGCCGCTTGACAACATTACGGTAAAAACCCTGCATAAGTTTGAAAGCTGATGCGGTCTCGGTTCATCCATGACCATACCAGTCGGTAAAGAACCAAACAGGAAGCTGTTGCGTCAGACTGGTGGATGGGATCTGCACTAGATAAGGACTTAAGGCAATTCGCAGCAGGAGTAACTTGAGGCATGTTCTGTGTAATGTAATATTAGAATTTCCAAAACGTGTTGCCTCCTCCATCTGTCTTCACAGAAGCAAAATTATGCGATGAATGGCTGGCTGTTTTGCAGTACGTTCGAAACGCTAACGTTTGATAGCCGACTCTAGCAGTGGATAAATTTAGAAGTTTCGACTAAAAAGTTGAAGGACAGCGTAACATTTGCTTTATCTTGGTTAGAGGCATTCAGGAGTGACCATCTCACTGATACCTGCATGATTTTACCTCTCTGTGGTATCTTTACTATACATTTGGCAATGTGACTGACTTGCACTCAGGTAGGCCATTTTCGAATCCCCCTTGGACTACCAAATTCACGTTGGATGATCCGGTGTGGTCTGACTCCGTGCCTCACGAATTGTCAAGTAAATATCAATTCGGTGATGCGGCTCACCTTCATGACGTCGTTCACAGCCGACTGAAGCCTACTAGGTGGGAAAGATAGTGGACTGCAACACCGACAAGTTAAGGATAAGAATCCACCCCACGAATGAACAACTCAGTCCGTCAAGCAAGTTCACTCGCCTGATGGCGAGTGACCAAATATGGGACTTACTACACTCGTAATGACTGATTGATTTATCAGTGAGTAATATCCGTGTGAGGCCAACTACCGATGCTTTCAAGATCGCATAAAAACTACTTTGCAGTGCGTCCTTACTATCCAGCATGGGACGATTTGTCTTGCAGTTGACGTCTCAGGTGGATTGGTACAACAAGCCTGTGTCCACTGTTTTGCTTGACAGCTGTCTGGGAAATACTTTCATCCGAGAACTCATTCGGTCCAACGAACGTAAGAAGCACGTTACACGTAGTGACGCACCTGGGAACAATAAACGAAGCAGGCATCTTTGATGACCTCCGCACTGACTAAAGCAAAATGAACTCTCGTCAGTCCTCATTTACAAATAAGTTTCATATTCAGTGACAACTAATTAAAGTTATTTTTATAATTTGCGCTTTTTCTATCTCTTTCATAGTGGTCGGCACATTTTCATGCGATGAACAAGAATGTGAGTTTGTTTTTACCTAAGAGCTATCGAAAGACGGATTATCCTCATCACCATTGACCTCATCGTTAGATAAGAGCACTTGTGCCACACAGGCATGACAATTCACATGAGCAGTCTTCTAAGAAGACTGAAGCAGACTGAAGCAGTCTAAGAACAAACAAACGGGGTAGGGAGGAAGATTTCGGTCAAGCCTACCACAAGCATTCGATGTGGTTAGACCTCCAGCGCTCCGTCAGACAGTCTGTGCGGAAACTGACAGGTTGAATATCATCATTGGTAGTCGCCGTTTTGCTCATCGTCCCAATCCAAGCACCAGGAGGGTTGCATCGACCTCATCTTAATAGGTAAACTACACCAACACCATGCAGACTTTCCGTGACATCCTTCATTCCGATCTGCTTTGTCAGAATCTGTCTATCTTTAGGTTTCCGACACTCCAAATTGGTCACAGAAAACAGTGCTCCTCTCAGAATCCAGTAACTCAGCATGCATGACACATTGTCCAACCACTTTGGCTTAAAGTGCTGGATGTATTTTACGTACCTTTAGCTTTACCATCATCTTTGAAGCGTTTTGAAACGACGAAAACTCAGTGTTTATAGGAAAGGACAGCCTCACGGGCTGCCCTGAAGCCTCGCTCTGATCTAAACCACCTCCCTGTTTAGGTGGTTGGATGATATCTGCTGGGGCCACGCTTAGCCGCCACGCCCTCTGTGCATGTCTAGGAGACCACCTTCAGTGGAAATCAATACTTCCGTTTAAAAGGAATGGCTCTCTGCCTGAAATGGAAGCCATAGGGGCCGGTTGTGTTGTTTTAGACGACCAAATGATGGAATCTTACTTGTGTCCTTGAAGCGTTGGCAGAAAACTTTACGTTGTTCTATGGGAAATTTTTGGGAAATTCCCTTGTCCAACAATTCAACTGCTTGGTTGCTCTAGATTGGTTGGAATGTTTCTTCAACGTAGCTTGACTTGTATGGCCGTCCATACCACAATGATACTCTCTCAAAAGAAAGAAAAAAAAGAAAGCCTTCAGCTGTAGCACCCTTTCGGTGCCTAGCTGCCATGCCACCCGAAAAAAGCACGAGGGCTGGGATCCTGACAGGTTGCCCAAGCCTAGACAGGGGAAGTCGAGTGGCGGAGGTCGGATTCGAACCACGGACCTTCCGGTCAGTAAATTCGCGCTCTAACCACTTGGGCCATCTCGTCCCCACTCTCTCAAAAACAACAAAGACAACCGCGAATTAGGGAAATTTCAAACGTTTGACATACTGCAGCTTTTCTTTGCAGCAAGTTTCTTCAACTGACGGCGCTTGCATGTAGATTGCTACATATTTAGCTAAAGATCTCAAGGTGACTAAGGGGTGACAACTGAGGAACTGTCTACACTTCAATAAACTGCCTTCGTCACATCGTTTAGGTTTTACGACGACCATGTTGAGTAACAGGACCACAGTTGAACAACGATTATCTCTAAAGTGATCATTTCCGTAAGCAGAGTTTGTTTACAACGTGCAGGATTGAGAAGGCAAAATCTTCACCCGTGCAAAACTATATACTTTATGCGGTCATTTCTAAGCACGGCGTTTCTTCAGCAAAAGAACACCGAACTCGACGTTACTTGCAGATAAACACAATAAAATTTCGATCGCATTTCCATCATGTAGGATGCCGGTTGCTTCCATATCAAAGTAAATGCAAGATTTCTGATGTCGAATTTACATGTTCGCAGTATAGGATGCGTTCGAAAACAATACCGTGTTTGATTATCCTCATGTCAGACATCTTTCAATTCCAAGGATTTTAACCAACTTTTGTTTATTCACCTAATGCCACGTACCATGAAATGAACACAGTATCTATGACCCCGTGCTCTTCCCATTGCAGATCAACAGCTCAACACTGATAGTAAGTTTACTCGTAAGCTTGTCTTTTTCTTTGAATATCGTGCACGTCACCCCGAAGGCCTGGTTTGTGTCGTCGGAAGATTTGTCTCAAACATACCTGACTTGTACCTTACGTAGTTGGATGGCTCTTGTTCAGAGGTGCCCTTTGGGGAAGGCTTTTTGTGGGAACTTTGCTTATCGCGCCAAAAATCTTATTTTTTTCGATTGAAAATGTGGTCACCACGGTGTGATGTCCCAGTATGGGGTCCGCGAAGGAATTGCGGAAACACAAGTATCAAGATCTTCGAGCCATGTGGACCGATATGTAACCGAGATGCACGGTAATAAACTTGTACAAATGTACTGGCTGGATCTGTCACCACTGCTTGTGTATTACGTACTATTTTTTCTGGCGAATTCTCAAGGTGACCAGTATTCAAACAGTAGGATTCAGTCCTAACTAGCTGGAAGGCTGTAGCAAGGTGATGGTCACAATATTTCTCGCAAGTAAATCCATCTGAATTGAGGGCAAATAACTGTAACTATTCACTTCGTGTAAATAAGTTCTAGGAATTGCTCTCACAAACAACAAATTTCCACCTTTTCTGACTATCGGTTCAGTCATTAGTCTAACCAGCAGCCATGTGTAGTCGAAGTTGGGTTTCGTTAGCCAGACCATTGCCAGCGACTGTATCTGCTAGTTGCACCAACAAAACAACCTTCAAAACGAATTTCCGAGAAACTAAGGAAATGGACCATGAGCTCTACTCCGGCTACTGGAACTCGACTTAGTAAATCTGTCTTACCACAGGGTCACTTCAGTTCCAATCTCACTAACATCGACCGACAGGATGAGCGTCCCGTTAGGTTTTAAGACTTAAACACCTCCAAGTGTCTATTAAATTGACTTCTTTGAAGGCGCTTTCTAGCTGAGAAGCTCATTTAAGCCTCCTATCGTTTCGAACCAGCAGAAAGAATAGAAATATCTTGTTTGACAGTCGTCACACGAGCTTTAGAAACCATATCCGTTTTCTTCTTAACTTGAAACGATATAACCTCTGCAGCTCTTCAAGTTCTGAGAAAGTGGAAGGACCTGAGCGTTTCTAGCCTTATGACCAAGCCAGACAATAAATGTGAGGATAAAGTGGCACCTCTTGTTACTGAGTTTTATTCCCGTTTCTCTTAAGCGCTTTTTAACGCCTCCCTGTATATTTTTGATCGGTCTTGGCGCGAATGACAGTATCGTTTGTGTTAACGGCGCCGCCTTCAGATCCATCGAAAATTTGCCCCAAAATTCCCCGAAAATGTTCCGCATTCGGAAGAGCTGGTTTTTATTACCATTTGAAGCAGAAACCCGTTTTGCTTCGACCACAGCTGCCATAAGAAGCTGCCATTAACCAGAGTCGAAGTCCAGTGGGCAAAATCAAAGTGATGATGACACAGATATGGATGGAGTACTGCTTTGTTGTAGAAATCGGCAAGAATTCCTTGACTGTTAATCTGTTAAGTTCCCGAAAATTCACGAAGCAATCGAATCGTCCCCTCCGACTTTCTAGCCAGTGGAACAGGCAAGGAACAGGTGCCATTTGTTTTCCGTAGTCTTTTATCCATATCTTGATTATTCGCTGCTGAAGCTCGAATGCAAGTTTTTGGACACATTTCACTGTCAAACAACGGAAAGATATGGAATGAATTTCTATTGTGTTCATCACTCAGTCATCTCACGGTAGTCAGACAGGTGGCTCACAGTCACTGCTGGAACAGGCATTGCTCTGTCTTCGCTCATCGAACACATGGAAAGAATCTTTTGGTTGACGGATATAACACTCGTCTTTGGAGCAATATGAGATTTTGATCTCCAAGAAAAATTGACCCTAATTACAGTTCCTTTCACTCCACTGCCCATCTGAATTTTGATTGTCTGTTTTCCCCGAAAGGAGACCGGACTTTTGTCACTTATCTGCACATTGATATCAATTCAGCTGCTTTACTGCTTTGCCCAGTATTTTTATGACTGACGCCAAATTCGACGCGCGGAAAACTGACCAGCAATGTTTATGTCAATTCCAGTTATACTTCGCCCGTCAAAATTTAGTGGATAAAACCAAAGAACGCAGTAATCGAGTGGCTGGTTCGGATCAGCTTGTCAGTTGAGGAAGGTACCCGACTACGGTTTGAAAATTTCACGGCCACCAACACCGCAGCAATTCATTCACTTGAGTGACATCTTACTCTACCATATCGCACAATATCCAGTTTGAACGTAACTGAGAGAATCAGCTATGTTTTCATTGAATTTCTTGTTAGCACCAGCGTAATTCGAGAATGAATACGGCTCCTAAATTGCTTACAATCTGCGTACAATCGTACAAGGTAGATAGGAACTCCAGCTGATTCCCAATGACGCGTGTCGAAAATCTCTTAGCAACCATATGAGTAGTGTTCAGTCACTTCGTTTTCATTTACATTGCAACTTGCGTAAGTGTACACAAGGAGCAAACACCGACAGAAATCCCGCACCCTGTAGTGCTTCACGAAGTCTGTCTTCATAATTTTAAAAATCACTTAATGAAGTATTCATATTACTCAGGTGTCGCTGTAACCTTGTTAGTAAGCCTCTCCCCCCTAGTAGTCCAACATTTGACGGTGTCACGTGGTTAGGTGCAACACCACCGTAATCTACCACGGAATCGAGAATAAGGAATGCTACGTTGTCTGATAAAACACATAGAGGTGACCGTAAATCAATAACTGTTTTTCAAAACGGCCAGTGTGTCTGATGATCCGACAATGGATGAGCACTTCATTATTCTCATTGATTTCCATTACTGTATGTTTAGCTGACCTGTTTAGGAAAATATTTTCCACTATCCCACTTTGTGCCACCCGACTGAGCCGGTTTAAATTGCTCGCTTATTTGTACTATAACCATGACGGCTCTTCACGCCCACGCACTTGCATCCCACGTCCGAATGCACACGTGACGTGTCCGCTCTCTCAGTTCACGCAATCTGATAACTGCTGATTCAATCAATTGCTACTCTATCGATTATCGTCTGTGATGAGAGCTCAAACGTGTATGTAGAAGACCAAAAACACTTCAAGCAAAAAATGTATTTATTTCTACATAAAAAATCTAACGGCGGAAAAAAATAAAGAAATTCTGCATACAAACGATACGTCATGACCTACTGACCTAGTTACCTATCTCAGAACAAGATTTGTGCTTAAGAAGCGGACTGAAAATCAATGTCTTTCCTCTGCGTGCATACGTGTGATCTACCTCCAGAAGTATGGCTAAATTAAGAAGAATAACATAGAAATATGCCTCTGTCTCTCCCTCAGTGACCCACTTTCATCTCTATTGAGGCTCATGAGAGCAGTTATTTCAAGAGAGGAGGAAAACCTCTCGAAAGCGTAGTGTGTCCGGAAGCCACTGACTCTGGGGTTCGTGACTGAAACGTGCTTCAACACAACAAATCACTATTTTGGTAGATCCGATTTTTTTTGCAGGTGCAGCGATTTTGCATTTCTCTCTTGTTTTTTTACACGCTTATGTCGAACAGATTTTCAGCTTTAATCGCAGTCTAGTTAGATGTGGCACTCCTCATCCTTTGTCTAGGTTCGCTATACGACATTTACGTTGACCCCCTAAAAGAAATGTGGAAATATTTACCGGGCCAGTTTGGCCTCGAAGCATCTGGTTGTCACTCTGCCATTGCCAATTTCCGCTCATCGGCCAATGGTCCTCGACCGTCTGTCAGTCAATTGAACTAGACTGCTTTCTAGACCACGTCGCATTATACCATAAAAGCGGCGCTACAACGACGGCAGGGAAAACGGAATTCCTGAATCAAACAAACGACTAATTGTTTCTCACTCATTATGAACTTTTGTCAACGGAACCTCTGTTTTCTGCCGATTGTGAAAAACACAGTCGGGTACAATTCAGCGCACAGTCCATAAATAATACCTCAGAATCGCATAAACTGTCATTCAGTCACGAAATGATCGCGTGATCACTTGGCTAGCAAATGCAAAATTACCCGAATTCCTCAGAGTCAATTAGATCTTTTCCGGGAACATTTTTGAATGATTATGGAGTGTTCAGTTCATCATCGAATCAGTGGCTAAATCTAACAGTGGCCAACTGCAGAAGACCTTTGGCACTTTTCACTATAAAAATTTACGCGACGATCGCTGGTGCGAAGGATAACCCAAAGCGCATTTGTAGACCTCATCGGCTGCCGTCCCTTTTGTCTAACCACAGTCCGTACATATTTACTCGTTACACATGTATTTAGTACATATTCTGTACCAAGCGAAAGATAGTGTCCTGGTAAAGCACATTCAGTTGCTTAAGAACACCAGTACCGGTAGAGTAAGCTGCAATCCAGGTGGGTCTACCGCCGCAGTTTTGTCCACCGATGATTTTTTTTTGGGGGGGGGGTAGGTAGCTGCAGGCAGGAGATGATAAATTGGTGCATAAATCCAGCACTATCAGTTGGCCGTCAGATGGGGGATTGCGAAGGGAGCTGTGCACTGAGGGCAGTCGCCTGGATGCACGAGTGTCATTGAGGGCGCGACTGGGCCGTGGCTGACAATGTCTCTAACCATTGATGTGGACCGACTCGGGGTCCGCTTCCAGGAAGACGGCAATGATCAGCGAAGCTCAGTTCGCTGGTAATGGCTTCCAAACTTCGCTGCCAAATCATCGCTTGACCGCCTCATGCTCTTATCCACCCTTCACATGGAACCACACTTCGCATGTTGAACCACCTACCGGAAGATCGCGGGTTCGGGCTCTCTGAGCTTTTTGAAACAGCCGAAATTGGCTTCAGTGACAAGAGGAAACCTCTATTGCAAAAGAGGTCCTTTTGCCTGGCACACTATCGCGGTTATCTCTGCACACTAACGTCCACTTTCTTCACACGAAGCAATTTCTAGACAATGCATAGTTGGCCACAAGACGCCTAGTTCCACCTGGTTCTCAGGACTGCAGCTCTGCAATAAAGGGATTTTTGAGTCGCCATCCAAAGGTCCGGCTAGAATATAGCAGCAGTCGGGGCAAGGTTGCCGTGTCAATCTTGATTTAAAGAACAAGCTGTCACTTCTTTTCAGAGGCCTCGTTCATCCTCTCGCCAACTGGATAGAATAAAGCCTGTAGGTGATGGTATACTTGGTACTGGGTTTCCTGTTTTTTTTTATATTGATGTACCTACACACTTTTTAATCATCGTTACCAGTAACAAAATTTGCCAAAGATGGTGAGCTCATACATTTTGGCTTTCATATAGAATTACTTTTGTAACGTATTGACGATTGCTCTTGTGCACCTCTACGCCGTGCGTTGATAAATAGTAGGCCTGTAAGTGATACTCGCTCAAGCTGGACGTCGGGTTTTCTTACCGTCTAGTTCTACTACTCTATCCTTCAAAACTGGAGTGTGGTGCGACTTCCGTCGATGTTGTCGTGTCCCCACCTGGAAACAACTGGAATACCATAGTGTTGAAATAGGCTATTATAGCTCTAATCATCTGAAGATTACTGCTGCTGTTCTCTTGTGGGCCAATGCGACGAAGACGTAATCCGATTCCTACTTACTCCGGTTGTGTGCGAACCACATCTGGTTAAACTGCAATTACGCGTAGTTCAGAGTTTAAATGGCAAAGCTGGGTTAATTCCATCAAGTGGCCTGATGGCACCTGTCAGTCTTGGCGTCGTGAGCAGTTTTAAGACACCAAATTATCCGAGACAAGTTTTATGCAAGGACACATAAAAGAAACACTATTTTCATGAAAGCTTCTGTCCCAGGGGGTGAGCCAATCTCCGAGAAGTTGTCTAGGACAGCGGAAATTACAACTTATGGGCGACTCTGCATCAGGCCAGTTTCGTTCAACCTCATGAGTCAAAAGAATTGAAACACGACCCCGCTTGGAAAAGAGGGCATGGCTATTGGATACCCAAGATTACTTTGTTTCCAAAAGGGTGTCATTCCGAGTTCACCTCCAAACCTGCAAGAAAAGACTTATTAGAGTTGGTAATCTCAAGCGTATTCACACTCAAATGTTCTGGGTCCGAAATGATTTACTTCCAGCTTCAGGATGCATACATTGTTCCATTTTCGCGAATCTTATCGCGTAGTTTTCCGATGCCATGTCTAATCGAGTTCGGAATAGCTTCAATTTCCCAGTCTGCACTTTTGTTTTGTGTTTCCCATGTACATGTGCACAAAAGTGGGCAGTCTTAAGAGAACCTCAGCAAATTTCGGGATTGTCCTGTTCACCTTGTTAGTTTACATGGTTCTTTTTGAAACCTATCTATCGAAGCCTCCCGGTTGGAAAGTCTGATGCGATTTTCGTAATCATTCGTTCGGAGCCAGAGGTTACAAGCTGCTTGAATGTATCTCGCGTGTCTATCAAAGCAGAACTCCTCAGCTCGTCCAAACTAACCTAATAGCGTATTTGTCATCATTTATTTCCGATAATGCGGACGTTTTACAGTATTATAATTAGTTTGTTGATTTTTCTTTATCAGCATCTGAGGCCATTGAAAAGTTACTCTGCGGTAGGTTGAACCATATTAATCACCATCTTTTCATCTTAAGTTTTCTAGAACGATAATCTTGAAAACCGTGACCTTGCTAAATGTTTGTGATGGCATTTTGATTGAGCTAAGTAGTGCTCAGTCGGTAAGCAGAAGATCATTGGTCCAAACCCCGTTAGAGTTTTGTGAAGTGCAAACTGACTACGATGCATGCATAGTTTGTTGGTTCTTTTGGCATAGGTCGACTTCAATCAAAGGGTAGAGTTTCATCTTACATCGGAAATAGATGGTAACTTGCGCTCACATGCCGCAATCGCAACATTTCGGTTTATGGAAGCGAAATACTCATTTGCAAATCGGTCTGATTTTGCGGGAGGCTCACCTGGAACCCAGCTAAATCTCTAGTTTATGGAGATTTCAGTATGATGTTTGAAGTAGAACATTAGGTTGACGGAAAATCGAAGACATGATGTCGAAAAGTTTCCAGCAGCGTTATAAGTAGTTCATTACGAATAGGTTTATGGTAACTATAGTTCTAGATTAGAAACTGTGCAGGTTCCAACAGATTTTCATGAGGGTATCTAGTTCTCCCTGTAGGGAACCAACGCAAACATGCATCACGTTTAAGGTTCGATAGGGATAGCCCTGCAAAGGCTTCGTAATGGATTCAGTATTTCTGGCAGATTGGACTAAGGTCTTGTTTACAAAATCTGATACTACTTCGAGTAGCAGAATAATTGCGGTGTGATAAAAATGTAAGCAGTTGAAAAACAGATGAGGGCGATCGATTCCATCAACTAGCCATTCATGACAACCCTTAGGAAAGACTCTTAGAAGGTGAATCTGTGCACTACCCAAAATGTGTATGTCTCGGTGGTGAATTCAAACAATTCTGAAGAGTGTTTATTATGGCATAATTATACCTCGCTTCTTGAAGGACTACCACTCGTTCTTCTCTCAACTCCTCTTTCTCTCTTTCGCAATCTTAATCACCGAACGACTAATGCAGCAGGTAAGTTACAGGTGCATTCATAAAACGTTTACTCCAACTTATGCGAGTCTCTTATCTTTCACTTAACTTAAAAAATCATGCGTCGTTCCTTGTAGCCTGTTGATCTTCAAGAAGTAGTATTCTTAACCCCCTCGTTACTTACCCCTCACTAAACTCCCCCTCTAAATCTGTCCACTCGTGTCCTCGTGAGTTCAATGGCACACAAGCATTGGTGTTTGATATTCTGACTGTGTAACACAAACTCATGAGAACGGCAATGAGTTCAGCCATAAATACGCGAATTTGACACTTGATTCGTTTAAAACTGCAAAAGATAAAATGGTCAAACTACACTTGAATTTGTGAAAGCTAATAATGCTTAGTTAAACATCTGCGTGATCATTTCTGGTGGCACTCAACCGATGAGCAGTCTAGCCAAGGAGGTGGGTCGAGCAATTTCAATCGATTGATTACACTCGCAATGAGCTGGCAAATTCATTGAGACATGTTAGATGACCGCAAAAAAGTGACCAGGTTAAGCTAAAGTATTTACCTGACTTTTCATGTTAGGTTGCAGGGCTTTTGAAAAAAACGTCTTCTAGGCCCCCAGAAAGCGTAGCGCATTGTTAGACATCTGTTTCGGTTTTCCGTACCAAGTCACGTGACCTAAAATAGTTCAGGGGACCGACCAAGTAACAACCTGATTGTAGGCTGCTGCATGCTTCCTTTCGCAAGTAGCGGTGACGGTTGAACTCCAATAACACAGACAGCAAAAATAGGCTTTCCGGCACGTGCGAGATATGACGAACGCATCCACAAAATTTGAAAGTGCAGATGTACGGTGGATCAACTGATGCATCACAGGAGTTACGTTGGCAGTAGGTCTGTTTGTGAAATATCCTGGAGAATATCAGATCTAAGTCCTCATTATGATATTATTTGCTTGGGGTTTTCCTTGTTTTAAAATTTTCGAATATGTCTTAGTGTTATGCAACCTAAAAATGCGTTCGTATTTGTTTGTATGCAAGCTAACGATCTCGGAAAATGCCCACTGTTATAAAGTTGGTCAGTTCAAAGGACGGTATCGTTACGCTATCATAAAGGGTCGTTAAGTTTCTAAAAGTGATTGCTGAAAAACACACCGGGGATCAGAGCCCCTATTTAGTCTATTCACTAGTTGAAATACTAAATCGAAGTATCAAATATCTACGAAAACCTTTGTTTTGAAACTCACTTCGCGAAATCCCACTTGCGCTTTCTATGTAGAACAAATCAACATTGGGTTATTGCAGCAATCTGTTATCAGAATTTTAGCACAAAGTTTTTTACATCCTCCAAAATTTATTTTTCACTTAGTATATTATGCCGCAATTTTTGTGGAACAATAAAAACACTGTTCCTTCACACATTTTTCTACCAATCAACCAGTTCAGAAATTAAAAGATCGAGGTGAGTCGATCCGTTCTTTGAAGTCGCCACGACAACCAACTAATCAAATCCAGTGCCTTTGGGGTTGTGTTCTTGGAATATTGGAGCGGAACAGTGTTATCTATGCGATAAAGGGCAAAACCTCGAGTAACATAGCTAGAGGACGGCTTGATGAAGAGATAACATTGTACAAAGTTGTTTTGTTACTGCATTTCCGAAAGAATTTGCTGTTTCCAATATAAACGTTGAAACTTTGTTTGGACTGGAGATTACGTTCGGCGGAAAGTCAGGAGACCGCTTTAAGTAGCTAGGCCACGTTGTGTGTAGTGATTCTTCTTAGATTATCTACGTGTTTCCGCAGGTAGTGAGTTGATTTCAGACGTCAATTGGTGTTATTTATTGAGTAATTAAAAAACTATTGTACCATCCCATTTCAACAAAAAGATAGCTGCAAAAAAAATAAGGCATAGTTTCTTTTTATGCCTAACCTTTAATCAATACATCGTTTCCACTACTTATCACGAAGCGAATTCCCAAATGCAAATCTTTAATGAAATACCGGCCCTGTCGTAGTGAGGATTCATGAACATCATTTCCCAAAGCCCACGTATTTCCAACAAACCGGGGATCGAATTCGAAAAATTAGTCATAAAAACTCTATCGCTTGTATAGACGCAATGCACTACTCGTAATTCTTCGACTACCCACGCTTGGTTTCGTCATTCTTGGGACTCAACATGTGTCCCCTATAATCCGTCAATCTTATGTTCTACTCGAACCCAAATCGCACGAAATTAGCGGAATACACTCATTTGCAAATCAATTTGATTTAGCGAGAGAGTCACCTGAAGTCCAACTGAATCTCTCTGAAACTTCTCTCGTTATGGGGGTCCATCCACAACTGTAGAGTTCTCAGTCGCATAACACTGCGGTCAGAGGTCTTAGTCAGTCTAACCCGTAGGGACGATCGTGGAGACCCAAGGATGATTGATAGCTTATTGCCTAACACTCGCAGGGCCGGACCGGGTTTTTGAGATTGAAATATAGGGGAAATACAAAACTTCCATTAGTAGGTCCATGGAAGTTATCAACTGGCCACATAGCTAAAACGCTGTGACTAATAGAATGTCATCCGCCAATCTGGAAAGATGTCATTCGAACCGAACAAGGATTAAGACTAAACATCAAAGTTAGACTGCGTGATCCATCCAAGAATTCGGGAAACCTTCGAAATTTCGAATCACATAGAGCAAATTGTAAACAGAGAAAAGTTACTAACTATCCACTGNATTTCATATATATATATATATATATATATATATATATATATATACTTCGGAGAATGGAAATTATATTGCCCATACATTTACGTGGAGGTACTGGAATAGCAAATAAAAACCAAGAGGACCATTCCAATGAGTCGAGGTTGCATCGAACTTAGAGCCATCTTTAGCTTCCATAGTAAATCTTCTAAAGTACACCAAATTAATATCCATGAAAAATTTAATTTCCAGTACATCCGGTTGCTTGTTTTAGCGAACCGGCATTGCTGTCAATCCGCTGTGAAAAAAGGTAAGCAACGTATATTTACAATGTGTTTTATGAGAAAGGGTACATTGAAAAAATTTACCAGCTTCACTAACATAAAAATGCTTTCGTGCCAAAAGTACGTAGTAGGTAACAGTGTTTCCTTGGGTTGAACTAAGTTCTACGTTGTTGCACACCAAGCGAGTGGATAGAGACACTTCGTATCAGTTACAAAAAAGCCTGATGAGAGTAAGCCTCATGTGGATCGGTATTCATCATCATCATCATCATCATCATCATCATCATCATCATCATCATCATCATCATCATCATCATCATCATCATCATCATCATCATCGTCATCATCATCATCCTCATCATTGTCATCATCATCATCAAAATCCTCATTAAAATCATCATCATTGATTGCATGATATCAGCGTTCAGTGTTGAGCCATTGCTGGCGGAGTATAACGGAGCAGCGAATCGAGGTGAGTCGGCGAACAACGAAATTCCCTCAGAAAACCATGCCAACCTCTTCTGAGATGAAATTGTAAATGTAGTAATGTGTTCCTCCCAAGTGACTAGAATGGCCGTAATAATGAAGGCGCCGACACTGCCATCTGTAGAGAAAGAAAAGTGCATGGCTTGAATTTTCGCGCTCCAATTGTGCGAATGTTGACCATGACCGCCACTCTATCATTGTTATGGACCGCGGTTTGCTTAATGCCTTCTCAAAACCTCAAACCCGAGTCCCGGTAGCCGCTTGGTAGCCCGATGCGCTTGGGTAAGCCAAACGAAGACAAACAATATTCGGATCACCGGATCTATTTAAACCTGACTCGTACAGGCATGTCATGTGGAGCAGAAAATGGGCTGTTTATAAAGCTCACGTGATAGCTCTAGGCGGGTTAAAAAGCGATACTAAAATTAGAAGTCAGCTGTGAATGGCACGTGAAGAACAACCAATTAAATCTGTCTCAGCGTTTGCCATTATTCCATTGGCAGTCGTGTAGTCCAGTGGCGGTCGGAGCTGCTTCTCTCAATACTCACTCAATACGGTCGAAAGTCATCTAAGATCAAAGCGTCTGGGACTGAGCAGATGGTACCTGCAGAACAAAGCCGCATTTGGAGTGGAATAGTAATGCCCTACTTTTTGTGTCCTCAGCTGTGGTCAGTTCTCAGTAACCGAGAAGGACAGATTATTAGGTCGGCGGCTGTGGGCACGTCCAGAAAGAATACCCCGAAATTCGTTAAATTCTAAGGACCGACTTCTATGTAATCGCCCAAGCCCACTTTTCCCGAACAAATCTTCAAGGTTTCCCATTTTCTTGAGGCGCAGACTTTTGAATGGAAGCCTCAATATGGTGACTGAAACAAACCGCTGTTTGGCCTGAGCAATCGGAAAGTACCATTTAATTGCACATGTGACTTGTCCCCTGGTGGCCCTTCTTGACCCTTTTCTACCATGGAACATACAAATGTGACTTGTCCCCTGGTGACCCTCCTTGACCCTTTTCTACCGTGAAGCGTAACGTCACTGGATCGCCCGATTTTCTGTTACCCCCAGATATTCCCTATTTATTCCGACGCCCATTGGTGAGAAACAAAATGGGAGCTCGATGAAACCATGCGAATATCTGCACATAGACATTTTAACAGTCCGTACTATAGGTCAAATTGACAAACACGCTTGGTGTGCCCACAGCCCATACTCTCTTCAAATTGATATGTGCGCGGAATTCCAATCGCCGTCTACACATACTACTTGATTAGTAGCTAATTATCATCCGACAGTTCAAATTCCCCATTGTGACTCGTACGTAGATCATCAAAAACAGCATCGGTGTGAGTTTCGATCTGCAAATCAGTCATCCATCCCCGTACGGAAGCCACGTGTTGGATTGTCCCCGGTGTTTGAGGAGAACTCACGCGATATTCGCAGCGTTACCGTAGCTTGCACAATATTATAATCACATTCCTCGCATGCTATTCCACTAATGTCTGATTTTTTGCTGCGACCGACAGGTCAGTACAATCAGCCTCAGGGTAAGTTTAGTCAGCAAAACGCTGTTTTGAAAATTCTATCTGATAAATACCCGGAAGCTTACATTGATCAGATGACATAACAGCAGCGCGGGGTGCCAGATAGGCACGAAGAAAACCCCGGGTCTCGTTTGCGGAGCATTCGGTGGTATTCTTTCAATGTGACACCTCAAATGTGTGTGACTTTGTTTTGTTCGTTTTCGGGAAACCGCAGTTACCGACATGATACACTTGTTCTTTGTTCTGGATCCATCACAGTTCCTCAGTACTGTCGTAGAATTACACTTTTG